TCAGAGCGATATTGTAGTTTATAGAACTTTGGAGGATTTCAAGAAAATGCACGTAAGTAGCCTGTAAAATACGCTTATGTCTTGATTGTTGTTTTTAATAAGAGTTCTGTTACATGTACTTCTTTATTGCAGAAACGAATGAAGAAAGCGTTCCCATCCGCAAGGAAACTGAACAAATCCGACAGAGTCATCCCCACATTTCGAGGTGAGTGTGCGTTATCTGTAGCCGCAGATTGCGTGGATCACAGTGTGCAGTTAATGTGCAGAGCACGGGCTGCAGGATTCTGACCTCTTGCGTCCTATTTTAGACAAAAGGGCGAGGCGGAGCGGCCCGAGGAAGGGCCCCACTAAGTCACTGCAGCAACTCAAGTTCTTGCAGAAATATTGTAATGAGCTTCTGAGCTGCGACCCGCGGGTCTCTCAGTCTACAGACCTCATCCAGTTCTTCCACCCCAAAGACCAGGACATGCAACCGGAGTTCGCCAAGGACAGGTACGCATAACATATTTAGGCCTATTAAAATACCATGCCTTTGTTTAAGGGTGCACTCCGTGGACAAGATTTTGACATTTTAGAGTTTTGGGCAAAAACTGTGAAAATATGACACAGGAATCAATTTACCCCTAATTAGCCTTATAGAACAGATTCTATAACATCTATTGATAATAGGTCTCCTGCACAAGCTGCTCTGTTTTTCTGGATTTTCCTCCTAATTTACCCGCTGCTCTCCTCTTCAGCGTCATGATCATGCCATCAGACGACGACAGCACCGATGCGCGTCACGCCAAGGGTGGGAACGTGACCCAGCCGTTTGTCACAGAGACGTACAGATGCGTGGCCCCGTACGAGACGAAAGACACCAGCAACAAACCTTTCAAAATGAAAATTGACGAACAAGTGGACGTGCTCATCAAAGACAAAGCAGGTGAGCGAGCTTCAGGGTCCTGTTTGTCCAGTTGCAGGCCTACAGACCCCACGAACCCGGAGTTAAATGTGTGTGTTTGCGTTGGTTCAGGGTGGTGGCTTGTGGAGAATGAGGACAAGCGGATGGCCTGGTTCCCCGCTCCTTACCTGGAGAAGCTAGATGATGATGATGATGATGATGATGATAGAGATGAAGATGAAATAGACGGGACTTCTGAAAGAGGTACAGTTTCTATCAACACTTGGCTTATTTGCATAAGCATGCAGAGTGCATACAGGGCTTTGAGGGGGTTAATGTCAATCAAGATGCTATGACATTATGTAGACTATTAAAATTGTTTCATTTTACTCTCAGGAATGCTGTACACTGCAGTCAAGAGCTACAAGTCCACCACAGATGACGAGATAACCATAGCCATCGGTGCAGTTGTGGAGCTCCTCCAGCAGTCTGATAACGGCTGGTGGCTCATCAGGTATTTAACACATTGGCTTTGGCTGAACTTTTTAACATCACGCCACTGAGACCTCCGTGACGGTCAAAAAGGCAGATAAATGGGATGGTTTGTGATGTACAGGATAGATGAGGATAGAAAGAAAGGCAGCATAATGGGGTAATAAGGTAAATAAAGGACCCCATATGTCAGGCTCAGTCACTGCCCAGTCAGATCCGTCAGGACAGACTAAGAATGAAGTGTTTGTGCTCATGTTGACTGCACATTCCTTTAAAAGCAAGTTCCTGAAGCACTCCGCCTGTAACAAAGTTCTTATCTTGATGTAAAACACTTGGATGGCCTGGATGCCATTCATTTGATTTCTTCCATTTGTTAATAGCAGGTGAGGACAAAAGAAAAAGTTTTTTGCATTGTTTACAGCACATTTGTTAGAAGGCAAAATGTGAAAGCACCCAAGGACATACTCTTCTTACATATGGACACTCAAACCAATCCAGATTTTTAACCTCACATTCTTGTCTTTGTTTTGTTTTTAACAGATACAACGGTAAAACAGGCTACGTCCCCACCATGTACCTACAGCCCTACAACTACCCTCATATCAGCATGGCCGCCCGCCATCGAAATCATTGCAAGCCCTCCCTGAGCCTGGAACAGCAGTCCCACCACCTCAGCCGCTCACAAGGAAACCTGGTGCAACCACCTGTCAAGTCCTCCTCACCCCACCTGCTCCAACCAGGCAGCAGGCAGAGAACGCACTCTCTCAACATCCTGTCTGAACAACCCCCTGATCAGCCTGCAAAAAACACCACTGCCTCTGCTACCACCACACCTACGTCCGCAAAGCTCGCCCCTCCACCCATAATCACGGTGGAGATGGACGGAGACGAGGTACAACGTGGCAGGAAGACAATGGATAGCGACTGTCACAACAGCACCTTCAGCTCCAGTGACGACCTCAGTGACAGCTTCAGTTCGTCCTCAGCGAGCTCAACCTTCATCAACCTGAGCTACAGCGCCAATGACGACCGGCTGCGTTTTAGCCGTACGCCTCCCCCGATGGTGAGCAACAGCCTCAGCCCATCAGGCGGCCCAGAGCGGAAAATGATCCCCAGCGTCTCCGATCCCAACCTCTACAAGGGTCCCACAACACCTAAGGTGCCACCCAGACCACGGGCCCAGGAGATCCTCACCCGGTGTACCACTGTCACCCGCAAGAACGCCGGCAGGCTCACGCAGACTGAGCTACTGAGTCGATGAAGTTTCTATTGCTACCAATATTTTTACTATTAAGGAACCTCATCTACTCTGTGGTCTAAGGATGGATCTGCTAATAAATTTTGTTTAATAGATGCTGTTAAGAAATGTAGTAATGAGTTGCAGAATAGTTTCATTATAATGGAAGAAGAAAGATGCATTGCACCTTACAGTTATGAAATTGTGCCAGCATTTATATTCCCCAGTGAAGTTGTATTTCTAGTAATGTGAGTCGTCAAACAGTCTTGTTAATGCTGTTTCCATGATCTTTGAAGAGAGAATGCCAACAAGTATGCAGAAAATGTACAAAGGCCCTGTTTACGTCAGCAAAATCAATATATAGACGATTAACCAGGGTACGCTAAACACTCACAATGCTCCTCTTTACTGTTTTGAATGATCATTTATTTTCCATACTGGAAACTTTGTGTTGTGCTTTATATGCATTTGTATTGGACTGGGCTGAGTGCCCAGAGATAGGTCTGTTCTTGTGATTGCAGCAAAAGTAAATGTTTGTCTGATGACCAGAGTGTGAAGACAGCTGTCCTGCTAAAGCGTGTAATTAACACTGAATATACGCTCCAGAATCTGACCGTGTAAATTCTGGGTGCATTCACACGTTACTGATAAGCTTGGTACAAATAAAAGCATTTTTGGGGAACTTAAACAACTCAGTGGTCCTTTTTTGCATCTGTTTCACGCATAAACTTTTTTCTGACTTTCACCGCATCCTGCATTTCCCACCATGCAACCAACAGCATCTCTTAGACATTCCTTTCTCGTAAAAGCCCACGTTTCAAACTCCATGCCCCCAGTTTGTAACGCAGGCTTTCTCTCAAAAGTCTCAACCCCAAGCTGAGATAACCTTGATGCATACAGAGCTCCCAGAGAGCCACAGGACATCATAACTGATGAGTAATATCCACCATGACGAGTAAACTGACCTTTATAAGTAAAATAGGTGGAGCAGCCCTTAAGTCAGACTCTATCAAAAGCTAAAATTCAATGAATTCAATTTCTCAACTGATTAATCATTTGGTCTATAAAATGCCAAATAATAGTGGTGGAGACTAAGTACATTTACTCAAGTACTGTACTTAAGTACAAATTTGAGGTACTTGAGTATTTCCTTTTGACGCAACATCTCAGAGGGAAATATTGTACTTTTTACTTCACTACATTTATGATAGCTTTAGTCTTTAAACTAGTCACTTAAAAATTAAGATTTTTACACATATACAATATGAAGACTTAATAAAAGGTTTTGTTATAAATTAAACTACATCTTATACAAGTTCAGCTGACACAATTATTAGTTTGACATTGAAATTAACTGGCAACAACTTTGATTGTTTGACATTTTTCATGTAAAAACCTTTCATGGTTTCATCTTAACATATGTTTCCTTTTAATTGTTTAATTTATTTGCAATAATGTTGAGCCTTGTACTGTTGGTTAGACAAAGCAAGCATTGTGAAGGTGTCACTTTGGGTTCTGGATAACTGTGACGGCATTTCTCTTTATTTTCAAATCGATTAATGGAGAAAATAATCAGCAGATTAATCCATAATGAAAATAGTTAAAAATGAGCTCCCCCTCAACTATTACAACAGTAAAATCCTGATTTTACATTGATACATGAGTAATAAGAATCTAATATATAATATTGTTATTATAACAGTCACAGGACATTTTTCTTTCTGCAATGAGTACTTTACTTTCAATACTTTTAGTACATTTTCCTGATTATACTTTTACTTAAGTACAATTTTCAATGCAGTACTTTTACTTGTAAAAGTATTTCTACAGTGTGGTATTGTAACCTTAGAGACCTCCGTTTCTTCTGAGCAGGATCCATTTAGAGAGAAGATTTTGTTAAAAAAAAAAAAAACATACAACTTATACTTACTTATCTACCACTGACAAACACACACATGTAACTGAGTAACTTGAGTTATTATTACCCTATTATATAGTAATGGGTTGATTTGTTTTTAATATATTCTTTATATACTAAATGCCTCTGTTAGTACCATAAATATATACTAGCTTGATCCTGAAAAGTTTGGATCATGTGCTATAAAGTCTGTAATAAACTCAACATTTTGTGCAACCGCTGAACAATGATTTCATTTGTTTGAATGACAAAATGAAGCTTCAGTACATAATGACTTGATCTTTACCGAGCTACGCTTCAAAAAGCCCAAACCTAACAATGCCCAAGTGGATTTACTTCCCATGTTTCCACTAAGTAAGTTTTAAGGCAGTCATGTTAGCAAGTGAACAACAGATGGATACAATTTCATAGACTCCAATTTATAAACCATATGCTGCATATCACTTCATTAAAATAAAAACTCATTTGGAATCGCAAAGAACGTTTTTATTTTATAAACATTTGCATCCATGATATTTAAAAAAAATCCACAGTTATATAAAGAACCTCGCTTAACCTGTGTTGTTGCAGTCAAGCAGGTAGATCAAGATTACGCAACATTGCAGAACTAGACAATAGGTGCAGACACCTGCAGCGGGGAAGTTAAAACTGGCTCAAAGCCTGCATCTCTCGTTCCTCCTCTTTTCCTCCCTATTATCCATTTTGTCTAAGGAAATCCGGCTGTTTACGTTTCTTCAAATTCTGCAAAAACTCTGAATGGAAGAACTGATGTAAAATTTAGTTATTGGCACAAGGGAGAAAGTCTTTCCGACTCAGCTGCTGCAAAGAGGAAGGCTCAGAGAAGCCGATTCTCTGTATCATCATCATCATTCCACACATGTCTCTGTGTCTCTTCACTCCAGCTAATCAGCCCAAGACAACACAACCTCCTGGGTTTTCTTTCCCTCCAAGAGCGAGTCACACATAATCAGCTTGGAGATCCTCGTCAGCTGGTTGAAGTCTGGCATTGTGGAGTTGAAGAAACTGGGAGGCGTTTCACCACTTTTACCGTTGCATCTTCTTCCACGTCTTCCTCTTCTGAACTCTCCTCACTATCAGAGAGGTGGTTGCCATTTGTTTTGGTGGTCTTTCCGTTTTCCACTCGTCCGTTGTAGGTGGAGGCTTTTTTGCTGACACTGACTTCGTCGTCGTCGTCGTCCTCTTCTTCTTCTTCTTCTCCTCCTCCTTCGCTGTCGTCTTCATCTCGTTTGTCCTCATCACCCCTGTCTGTCCCTTTCTCCTTGTCAATTATAAAGAAGGGCTGTGCAAGAGGAGTGGTATCCATCTCTTCATCTTGGCCCATGCTAGACAGGAAATGCCAAAAGGGATTAGATTCATGATCTCCATATTAATTTTTCAGCAGTATCTAGATAAAAATTAGATACATACAGTTGTGGTCAAATGCTTCCTTACACTTGTAAAGAACATGTATTTCATGTAGGGTTGGGTATCGTTACAAAAGTGATACCGATACCAATAGAGTACTTAATTCGATACCTTGCGTAAAATGCCGCCTGTTGAAGCCATAGTAGTTGATTGGTAGCCTATTATTATTTTTATTGTTGTTATAGACAAGTAAGGTGATCTATTTTCTTTTTTCAAATAACTGTTACATAAAAATATTGGGAAATTGTATCAGATCCTCCTCATCCTAATTAAGTCATCCTCATATGGAGGAAAGACTGCAGCTTAGGAGTTTTTATGTATTTGAACGAGAGAGAGGAGGTAAATAGTTTAGTGACCAAATGAGTTGTGCGAAACAAATTTAAGTTAATTTTTTATACGTTTGTTTAAAGTAAACAACGGAGAATTTTTGTTACCTTTGGATCAAGAAACTGAATTGCAAGATCTCCGCGAGTGCTTTTTTCCTTTAGTGGTGAGCCGCAAACGTTCAAAAAAGACTAAAGTGAACTACATGAGTAAGGAGTTGGCTAAACAAGTAACTAAACTACACTAAAGAGTCTAAAAAAGCCAACAGAGGAAAAGAGTCTGCACATCCAGCTGGTCACACCGAACATCTGAAGCAGCCGCAGCCGGAGGCTCTGTGAGTAAAATCAGCTGATCGCTGCTGCACCACAAAAGCGTTATTTATTTGATGAAACCCAGTGATCAGTCGGTGACAAGTGATGTAAATAGCAAATAAAAATGTACACAGTAGTGTTAAGTGATAGCAGAAGATGAAACAAACGGAAAGACAAGCTTTGGGGTGGTAAACTTGCCTGAGACTGCAGCCGAACATGGAAGGTCTGTTAAAATCATGCATGGACTCGCCTGTACAGGCCTTTTTTTATAAAGTCTATGGTGCAGGCACACAAGGGAAAATGAGGCATGACCTTCTCTTTCTTTCGGTGTGTTTATTGTATGCGTGGCTGCAAGCAAAAACACACAAATGGTCATTTTTTGCCGCGACTTGATTACAAGTATCAAAGAAAGTACTGGTTTAATTGCAGACGTTCCAATAATACTCGACAACTACTGGGCTGATTCGGTCGATACCACAAAGATATCGCTACCTGATACCCATCCCTAATGTCATGGCAGTTTGGGTTTACCAAATATTGTAAAACTTCAATTAAAAGCCTAGTCCCAGTTAGAACCTGTCCCTTTTACTGGCCTGGTGTGGCTGAACGTTTTAACAAAAAGCCCACCGTGTCACATGCTTGAGCTAGTTCTATGGGCTTAGATCATGCATACAAATATAAATGTCAAAACTTTTGTCAATATGGACATATTAAACATCATAAGGTTGGTTAGATTGTTCACAATTCAATCTTTTAGTTAATTTCGGCCTGTCTCAAGTACAGGCCGGGTGGGTTCAGTGATTGCAGCACATAGAAGCCCAAGTAATTAATTGATTAAAAAGTTTTACGGTAACTACTAGTGATACTTAAACTTTTTTTTGTGATGGAATGACAGGAGCACAAACTTCTGTGTCACAAAAAACATTCATGAATTTTGGTTGGCCCAGTAGTAGTGCCTGGTTTAACGCTAAGAATGCTGCTCTGCAGCAAAAAATCACCACCTTTCTTCTTCTCCTGAATTCCTGAGACCGAAACACAACCCGTCTTTGTGTTGTGCTGGAGACCACGATTGGATCGATTGCATTTTTTGACACATTTGACCTACATAAAAACTGAATGCTCTTTTGTTCTGTGAGCAGAAAGACGAGGAAGTTGATGAGCTCGGGTCTGTGACCTCAGAGGTTAAATTAAGTGTGCGATCTGTGTGCAAAAAACACAGCCCTCTCATTAATTTGAATGGAGCCAGTCTGTCAGCGCAGCAGGGGTGCCAATGCAGGAGGGCTCCGGCAAAAGAAGCAAAAAGGTTGAACCAGGCTTAACTTTTGATGCTACGCGAATATGTGTCTAATCACATATGCTTTTAGATAATTTTTTATAATGTGAACTTCAATTTTCTACTCTCTACCTTGCGAATACTTGCTGCCATGAAAACTTTTCAGAGTTGTAAAATCCTGCCTCATAGTATTATAATCCAACTGGATTGTGTTTTGTCTCATCGCTACCTTAAACAACACACCTGCATCTACACAGCCCTCCTGCACTATTTTATCACAGGGCGATTTTCAGGCTGTTTTCTGCTCTCTCACCTGGGTGGGGCTCCCGCCACTCTCATGTTCTGCCACATGTAGTTCAGGAACATGGATGCCTGCAACAGATGGCCAATCCTCTGCATGTGTCTCTCTGTGTGTGGGGGGGGTAAACAGTCCATCAGAGTATTTCGTACAATCATCATTTCAGCCCAAATCTTAATTAGGACCCAGAGCTAGAGGGACCAAGCTACGATGAGATAGGTAATCTTGACTTACTTCCAGAGTCATTTTTACATCCATTTCGCTTATGTAACTAGAGTACACTACTTGTTCATGGTATTTGTGTTGAGACTGTCTCACAGAAAAGAAAAGAAAGGAAAGGAGTCACTCTTAAACAAATACTTCTTCTTTTTTAGCGTTGAGACTTAAATGCCCCGTTTCCCCAGGTTACCACACGCTACAGTCAAAACCATTGCTGCCAGGGTCTTGAGACAAATGACAAACTTTGGCGCCTGTTATACAGCCTGTTCAAGGCAGGAATGTTTCGCTGTCATTCTGTCGCTGTCACTATGCAACGTATGAACACGCAATGGGGGGGCATTAATGTTCTGCCATTAATGCAGCAGCGAAGGTGGTAACAGAGCCCAATCAACATCTGTGTGAAAAGGTTCATCCGGCAGGACGGGACATACTACACGCAGACGCTGTTGTGTAACACTTCACACCTCTTTTCCTTCAGGAATGCCAGCATGCAATCAAAATCACACACTGGGGCAGCACTATGCCGATCTCTGTTTAGGGCGAGTCAAAGGGCTTTTGACTCATGTCCTCTTTACACAGTCTCTAAATTAATTTTCTACTTGTACATGGGTATGCACTGCCGTGTTTTTCATATCTTTCACTTTAATTTTTGGGGGGAGAGTCCCTGCAAGGTGACATCTTTAAATCCTGTCAATCAACATACCAGCTTTACAGTTACTTAATGCTGCTTCTCTGGATCTTGTTCAAGTTATTCCTTTTTCCACCAGGCTGATGCTTTTGTTGCTCAATGGCTATCCCAATTTGATTAGTGTATTTTATATATCTTGTATTTAAATTTATTTGACATTAACTGAATGCCTGTCCATCTTAGTAGGCAAGATTATTTATTCCCTTCTTGTTTTAGATTTTCTTCTACTACTCTGTTTAATCTGTAAGATGTGGTGAGAGACCTGGTTTTCATACACAGTTCCATAATAGGTGTATTTTACAATAATCTGTGCATATAACCTGGATTAAAGCTAAATAACTACCCTTCACTGTTTTCTCCTTTGCCTGACACAAACTGAGTGTGCCCTCTGCTGACCTGTGTATGGGATGAGTCCCTCGAGGTGGGTTCGGGCGCCCTGGTACTGCAGCAGCTCCTCGGGTGGCAGGTGTGTGAGAAGCACCTGTAGGACGGCCTGGGCATCATGGCAGTTTCTGGCGTTGGTATTCCACACCACACAGTAGCGCAGGATCGACTCTGAGTGGGGTTGATGGGAGTCGAGTGTGAGAAGAGACAGACATTATTCCTTCCTTCACTGACAGGTATTCTTTCCATGGTCTGTGAGGATTGATATTGTGTTTGAAAGTGAGCCATCTGTCTTTTAAAAGCCAGCAGGCTTCAAATTCATTTCTTCATTTGTTTATTTATCTGCCCCAAAATTCTGACAATGAAGCCAGAGCCTGAGATGAATCTGAGTTTTGATCTTTAAAATCACTTTTGGTTAATTTTTTCCATCATTTAATTTCCATCATTAGAAGGCTTAAAGGAGGTTATTGATCCGTTACCTTTCTGATCCTGGCGAAGTTTCAGCACCATCTTTTCCAACAGCTCACGGCTATCCTCCCCCTGACGGATCGCTACAAGCAACAGAGAACACGTCATAGTCAGTCAGTCAGTGGTTAAGGTACATTGGTTCTTGTAGGGCTGCACGATTATGGCCAAAATGATAATCACGATTATTTTGATCTATATTGAGATCATGATTATTCATTGATTTTAGGGACAACATATTTTATTGCACTTCCAAATTTAAATAAACTGGCAACTGCTTTCACATCCATGTTGTGCTGCATTTCTGCTAATGTACAAATCTTTGCATCAAAATAAGAGAGGTCCTTAAAGTGTGTGGTTTTAGTCAGTCTGCTCCAGGATGGAGAGGTCTACCATGGGCCAGTTTTGAACGACTTTGCTGAATGGTGTGACCACCAAATCTTGAAGTTAAATGTCCTTAAAACCAAAAATATGGTCATAGACTAAAATTCCCCACTCAACCTCTCCATCAATAATCAAGGGCTCACCTATTGAGACAGTGGAGTGTTATTGGACAGCGGAGGAACAGTTATTGACAAGAACTTGACCTTAACATTTCTGCTGTCTACAAGAAGGGTCTTCAGAGGCTTCATTTTCTGCGCAGACTGAATACCTTTAATGTGGACAAAACTTTAATGACTATTTTATAAATCTTTTATTGAATGAATTTTTACTTTTTGTTGCATAGCTTGGTATGGGAATCTTACAGTGCAAAGCAAAAAATTGTTAAGGTAGCCAGCAAAATAATTGGGACAGCTTTCCTTGACAGACATCTATAAAAGACAAGTTATACATAAGGCTTGGACTATCATAGCCAGCTCTGACCACTCTTTTGGAGGAATTTGTTCTATAAATTGTGCAGCACTAGGTTCTTGTTAAGCTTGTGACTCAGTTTATTGTCTTCACATATAGATTATGAATTACCCAATTCACAGAATTCAAGAATCGAAGCAGAAGGTTTGTGACATTTCATATAAAGGAAACATTTAAGCATTTGCTTTTGAAGTAGCAATGACACAGTCTCATCTTGTGCCACTGAAACAACAACAGTAAGTTAGTCTTCTTGATTAGTATATTCACAGAATAACATTACTGAAGGTCTGTGGGGTTGAATAACTTGTAAAGACACTACGTAGGAAGCAGTTTATAATCACACACCAAATTTATGTTATTTTTGTGTCAAACCTTTAATAGAAAAACACTCGTGTGTGGAAACTGTAAAACAATGCCTTTTTTTAGTGTAAGCACACTAGAAAGACTGATAGCTATCACTTTCCATTTTGTTTGACACACATTTTGTTTTTGAATTTGTTCTGCAAGGGACAGGACAAAAGAGCGCTGACACTATAAATCCACTTTGCTTTTTGTTTGTTATGTTCATAGGCCCATCCTTTGAAAGAGTGGTGTACCGTGTAGGCAATGCATCAGTGCTCGGGTGACTCAACTCTTCAATCAGCCATCCACAATGAGAGACAACAGACTGACAAGACACTTGCCAAGGTAACCACAGGTGAAGAAACCAGGCTAGGAACCTTTGTTGCAAACAAAATGTGGAAAAGAGTTGTAGCACAAAGTACCTTTGATCACACTGAGCACAGTGTGAGGCTGGTCCAGTGAGATGGCAAGACCCAGGGCCTTCAGATACTTCTTCTCATGGAGCAGGTTGGACAACTCCTGCTGCCTTCAGACACAAGAAACACACACACACACACAGACAGGAATGTGCGCGTGTCAAATATTTGTATAACGATCCTCAATGTTTACTGCAAAGTAGTTCTAAGAGTAATGACCAGAATGTGCACGTTTTGACGGATTAACACATTAATTACATCAATTACAACACTGTAGTCTAATGTGTTTCAAGGTGGGCTCTGCCGTTATATTAAAACGTTTCCATAAAATCCACAAAGTCACACAAAGTTTCCCAAACGTGTCGCCCTAAAATGTCTTGTTTTGTCCACAACCCAAAGATATTCACTTTACTGTAATAGATGACTAAAGAAAACAGAAAATATTGAGATTTAAAAAGCTGAATTATGATTTTTCTTTTTCTTCAACAAATTACTAAAAACGATTAATCGATTGTCAAATTACTTTGCGAATATATATACACGTTAAACACATATAATCAAGAGTCCTGAAATCAACGACAGATCTTTGTTTATCCACCGTTTCGGTTTGAGTGAACAGACGGAGGATGGAGGTTTGTGGGGCGGAATGACATCTGTGATAAATTCTTCACATATTTAAGATAATGTTGTGTGTAACTTACTTGAGTATCTGATCCTCCTGCTTGGCCTGCTCCTCCGCCAGCTCAACCTCAGTCACATCCTAGCAGTGGACGAAACACAAAATTTTTTGTGATTATCTGCTGATCCCAGCAGGTGAAATTCCTCCTTTCCCCACATGACAAGAGAGAGGCCAGTTAGAGAGGTAAGATCAGCTAAAATAACTAGCTAGATAAGATGTGGACTGAATATTTTGCTATAGGGTACATCAGTAGGTTAGATATTTGCCAATACTGACTAAAGTGCAGTGTCAAGTGAGTATGGAACATTTGTTTTTGAAGTATACTGAATTCTGAGCTGTTAAATAACAAATCTCACATGTCCTACTGTAGAAATTTTGAAACTAGCTCTTTCAAAGCACTTTTAAGCTGCCATATCATGCTTTCCCGGACCTGTCTATTTCTATCTCATCTATTTTGGGATTTATTTCCCAGAATTCAGCTACATCCAGAGAACAGTTGTTGCATCCTGCCAGGGTATTTATGTACAACACTAATGGCAAGACAGGAACAACTCTATCCTGTCACACTTACCACCCACACAGTGATGTTAGAGTCTGCTGAGCCGGTCACCATCTTGTCATCTTTGCGGGTAGCGTGGAGACCCCACACTTTGTCCTGGTGGGCGTCCAGCGTCTTCACACACTCATTGGTCTTTATGGTCCACAGCTTTACTAAACCATCTGAGCCACTGAGGACGGTTGGGAGAGATGAGTTAGAACTGTGTGTCAACAGTTTTTATTTAAAGACCCTACATGGCCGACAAGCAGAAAAACAGAAGGAGATGGATCCACAATAATGCATTTTAAAACATAGGCGGTGTCCCAAATTGATACTACATCTATAATACTACATTCTGCTACTACTAATTCTAGTAATTCAAGTTCACACTGATAAACTCAAAAAAAGGCAGAGGCAATAAATCCATAGTCACTAGTCGATTAAAATTGATATTAGTCTGCAACAGTTTTGATACATATCATAATCGTAATGTTTGTTTGATCAAACTCATTGACTCTGTAAAGTGTTGAGGAGACAATGCCTTGCATGGGGTTACCTGGAGAGCAGCTGAGTGCCTCGGCTCACAAAGACGACCTTCAACACGGATGCATCGTGACCCTCGAATGTCTTTAAAAAAATTAAGAGTAAAAAGACAAATAATCATCATTTTAACTTTACAGCTACAAAAAAAAAAGAAAAAAGAAAAATCTAAATTACAGTCAGGTACATGAATTAATTCATAACTTTATTAAATAACCTTGGCTGTTGTCATCTTTCAGATGTGATAGTGTTATCTTGACATGATTACTCAGGTGAACCATTCCATAACAGAATATCACCTGTTGAATTTAAAGTAAGAGATATTGGGCCTTATTTTAACAACAGAGTGAAGTGCAGGGCACAGTTACGTTCGGTCGTGCCCAAATCCAATGTTTCTAGTTTGAAACCGGAATACAAGGCGCATGGTTCACAAGGGTTGTACTTAGTCTGTGAATTGGTCATTGGTGTGCTTTGGGTGTAACAAGCAAAACACCAATCAGAGTGTCATCTCGCATTCCCTTTACAAGCCAGGTGTGCTTGTATCTTGGCGTATTGCTTTTATATTACAGATGAATGGATCATTCTAAAAACCATCAGTTGACTGATTGATTTGCAGACTCACAACAGAGAGGGGGCTATGGACAGAAGTATGGACGCGATATAAAAACTGTCTCTGATCGTTTAGCCTAATGTTACTCCGCAGCCCTGTGGTTTATCAGCACTGCATTGTTATAATGAACCTGTCGTGGGTCACATCTCTCCCCTACATGGTTTCTTTATTTTGTGTTTTATTGATGTATGAGTGTTTCCTTTCCTGTTTTACTTTGCATAAGTGCATGAAATTTGAGCTTTTCAAAAAGACACTGATAAGAAAGGGAACTTACTGCACATGAATGTATCACACGCACAGCCCTCTTAATCTCACCTTGAGGCAGCTGAAGTCTTGTAGGCTCCACAGTTTGGTGGTGCCGTCCGCAGAGGACGTGGCCAACACCTGGTCGACGGGAGAGAAGCAGACGGCCCAGACACCGCGACGGTGGCCCCTAAACACCCCCAGCAGGCCCACTCTCCCCTCCCCCGCCAACGACCACAGCTTGGCCGTGCGGTCCTGTGAGCCGGAAGCCAGCAGTTTGTCGTTGGGTGACACCGCTACGCTGTTTACATCCTGGACAAAAAGGGAGCAAGATGGGAAAATGAGGAATAATCTTTCACATTGTTGAGATTTTGGTCAATTCAAGTTAGGAAATTAATTTTGAAAAAGAGATGGTGCCGAGATGAAGGGGGAAAAAGGGGGTTTTGATTCACTTTTTTCCTCCCCAAGAGAAACAGATTCTCTAAATTCCTCTCACTACACTGCCTCCAGCGCTACCTCACTCAGCTGTGATTGACATCTAACACATAAATCTGCATAAATCTCAAAGTTCCTTGGGAACGTGACAACAGTAGACCTAATTAACATGGCACTGTTCACATATCTGTCTTGTCTAGACACATATCTGGAGTCAGACTTGTGTATGTGTAGCAAGAAATGATAGTGTGTGGAAATCTTTATTTTACAGTTCCAGTAGTAAGCAAGCTGGTAGTGGGTTTACTATACTTCCTTACAATAAGAGTCTGCTTAACTGTTCACAAAGAGATAGCTGGAGACTGACCTATAGGATGTACGTGTGTGTGTAGCTGGCCTTTTAAAGGAGAAATCGTACACTCAGAAGATTTGTTAAACTATTTTATATCAGCAATTTGTGTAAGTTATTTGATGATGTTGTGTTATAATTTACTCTTTTGTTAAACATTTCCCCCTCAACCAGTCCATCAATTTCTTCGTTTTTAATTAACTAAGATTCCAAGAATGTCTTTACACGTAACTGGGTTACAGTGCACTTGCTGAAGTTACCTAATTTATTATATGTCCTTTAAACAAAGAAATCTGCATCTTTAATGGTGAGAGGGTAATATGAACACAGTTTAAGTAAAAGTCCTGCATTGAAAATGTTACTTAAACAAAAGTATGTTAAGTATTATCAGGCAAATGTACTTGCTGTACTGTAAAAGTAAAAGTACTCAATGCAGAGAAATGGCCACTGTGAGTGTAAATAGTATATTTAATTGTATACTATATATACAGATGGGGGACAAATGAAAGGAGAAACCTGAAGAAAAGAGTGGAGAAACATCTAATGCAGATGCTTCATGCACCAGGGTTCAATGAAAGGATGAATGAAAAACACTACTGTCTTTCTGGTCACCAGATCTCAACCCAGTTTCACACCTGTGGAAGATTTCAGACAAAAGTGAAATGCTCTCCGCCACTTCACCAAATTATATAATAAGCTTTTATCTTCACATCGTTTTAGTGATGTCGGTGAATATCATTACGTCATGTCTGCCTTTGTTTGTTTTTCTTTCCATCTGCTGTACTGCGGTCTATTGCATAAGAGATCTTTATCTCTTATATAAGACACTTTGTTGGTTTTTCCTTTCATGTGTCACCCATTTGTAAATAAAATATAGAATATTATTACTGATACATTAATGTTTGAGCAGAATTTTACTCTTGTAGTTGATTCAGATACATATATTTTTAACTATTTTATACAGGCAACTGATGATTATTTTCAGTATAGATTCATCTGCTGATAATTTTTGATTGACTGTGTTGTTTGTCAGACATAAGAAAAAAGGCACATCTTTACGTGGCTGAAACCATGAAATGTGGGGTGTTTCTGCAAGAAAAATTACTTAAACGATTAATCTGTTAGCAAAAACATTTAACAAATCAATTAAGCCCAAATTTTTAAAACTGTAGTCTAGGGTAATATTTTACAATGAAACACATTTTGAAAAGTACTTCTTGTAGGTAAATTTTGAAAAATCTTCATTTGAAAAGAAAATACAGCTGTCACATAAATGTAGAGGAGTAAAAACTACAAAAACTACAACATTTGAAAAGTATCCATCCATCCATCGTCAACCGCTTATCCAGTGTACAGGGTCGCGGGGAGCCAATCCCAGCTGACATTGGGCGAATGGCAGGGTACAGGCCACACATAGACAGACAACCACTCCGGAGCAGGAGAGAACCCACACGGACACGGGCAGAACATGCAAACTCCACACACAAAGGCCGGGGCAACCTTCTTGCTGTGAGGCGACAATGCTAGCCACTGTACCACCGTGCCGCGGAGTAGAAATATGATAAAATGGAAATACTCTAGTAAAGTACAAATAAATATTACTTACTCGCATATACAGTGGGGAAAATAAGTATTTGAACACCCTGCTATTTTGCAAGTTCTCCCACTTAGAAATCATGGAGGGGTCTGAAATTGTCATCGTAGGTGCATGTCCACTGTGAGAGACATAATCTACAAAAAATATCCAGAAATCACAATGTATGATTTTTTAACTATTTATTTGTATGATACAGCTGCAAATAAGTATTTGAACACCTGTCTATCAGCTAGAATTCTGACTCTCAAAGACCTGTTAGTCTGCCTTCAAAATGTCCACCTCCACTCCATTTATTATCCTAAACTAGATGCACCTGTTTGAGGTCGTTAGCTGCATAAAGACACCTGTCCACCCCATACAATCAGTAAGAATCCAACTACTAACATGGCCAAGACCAAAGAGCTGTCCAAAGACACTAGAGACAAAATTGTACACAAGGCTGGAAAGGGCTACGGGGAAATTGCCAAGCAGCTTGGTGAAAAAAGGTCCACTGTTGGAGCAATCATTAGAAAATGGAAGAAGCTAAACATGACTGTCAATCTCCCTCGGACTGGGGCTCCATGCAAGATCTCACCTCGTGGGGTCTCAATGATCCTAAGAAAGGTGAGAAATCAGCCCAGAACTACACGGGAGGAGCTGGTCAATGACCTGAAAAGAGCTGGGACCACCGTTTCCAAGGTTACTGTTGGTAATACACTAAGACGTCATGGTTTGAAATCACGCATGGCACGGAAGGTTCCCCTGCTTAAACCAGCACATATCAAGGCCCGTCTTCAGTTTGCCAATGACCATTTGGATGATCCAGAGGAGTCATGGGAGAAAGTCATGTGGTCAGATGAGACCAAAATAGAACTTTTTGGTCATAATTCCACTAACCGTGTTTGGAGGAAGAAGAATGATGAGTACCATCCCAAGAACACCATCCCTACTGTGAAGCATGGGGGTGGTAGCATCATGCTTTGGGGGTGTTTTTCTGCACATGGGACAGGGCGACTGCACTGTATTAAGGAGAGGATGACCGGAGACATGTATTGCGAGATTTTGGGGAACAACCTCCTTCCCTCAGTTAGAGCATTAAAGATGTGTCGAGGCCGGGTCTTCCAACATGACAATGACCTGAAGCACACAGCCAGGATAACCAAGGAGTGACTCTGTAAGAAGCATATCAAGGTTCTGGCGTGGCCTAGCCAGTCTCCAGACCTAAACCCAACAGAGAATCTTTGGAGGGAGCTCAAACTCAGTTTCTCAGCGACAGCCCAGAAACCTGACTGATCTAGAGAAGATCTGTGTGGAGGAGTGGGCCAAAATCCCTCCTGCAGTGTGTGCAAACCTGGTGAAAAACTACAGGAAACGTTTGACCTTGCAAACAAAGACTACCGTACCAAATATTAACATTGATTTTCTCAGGTGTTACATACAAATAAATAGTTAAAAAATCATACATTGTGATTTCTGGATTATTTTTTTTTAGATTATGTCTCTCACAGTGGACATGCACCTACGATGACAATTTCAGACCCCTCCATGATTTCTAAGTGGGAGAACTTGCAAAATAGCAGGGTGTTCAAATACTTATTTTCCTCACTGTAGGTATACACATATGAGGGTGACGGTGTTTTCTCTGTTAGGCCTCCTGTACTTTAGAACGGCCTGCCTGAGGAAATTAGGCTGCCATAATCTGTTTGGTATTTTAAATCCTTCTAAAAGCTGACTTTAATAAATAAGCTTTTATGTGAATTCACTCCCTATGCACTGCAGTTCTAAGCTTGGATAAATGCGTTTCTCTCATCTTTTATTCTTAATTTCTGTAATCTTTTGGCACACATACACACAC